CTCCGGTCTCCGTAGGGCAGAGGGCAGAGAGACGACAAAAATGGTGCTGTCTGCAAAGAGCAGCTCCTGGGCCAGCTCAGTTTTATCGTAGAGGGAACTGGTTGTTTTGTTCTTGTGTTCACCAGGAGTGAACACGCACGTGTGCCCTGTGTGCAGAACAGATGGTCTGGGACTAGGATCCAGGAGCAAATATTGGAGCTAAGGGATTCGGCAGCGGAAATTCACCCCATGATAAATATGCATTTGTAACATGAAATACCATTGAGACCTTATTAGACAGAACTGAAAAATATCTGTATAGTGCAGGCATAAGAAGCTACTTTCTTACCACAGATGCAAGTAATTAATACATTGTAAGAAAAGACAGCAGGCAGACAGATAAACAGCAATGATGACAGCAATTTCCTGGTGGAAAATGTGGCCCAGTATATATTCTGGAAGTTATTCTGTTGTATTTGTTAATTAATCTTCTAAATTGTCAAAAGATTGCCATGATATCAGGCGTGATCAAGGGACAGAAAATCCTTATTAGGTGTGAAATCCCAGCTAGATTAGTAAACTACTGCATTCCAGGAGTAGGTGTAAAATGGTTGCCTCCACAATGATTTTAAATGTTAGTTCATCTGAAAGATGCTTCTGAATTGGAAACATGAATAATGAATATCATTTGCATAGAACATGATGTGTGTCCATTAATATTGAACTCCCTACATCCCAACAGTTCCCAAAGGTGATGATACTAGTTGGGTGGAGTTGTGGCTGCTCAGTGAATTAATGAGAACTTTGCTCCTGAGTTTGTCAGCAGCTGTGATCATGAACTGTAGCTTCACAGGGCCCATGTCTGAATTGGTAAAATTATGCTCTCAATAATATAGTAATGTATCTAATAATGTGCTGAAAAATTATGTCATATTAGTAGTATGAAGTGGAAAAACTGTTCAGGAGGACTAATTTGAGGGCAAAGGAAATGTCACTGCACTGCAGAAGGTCTATTTTAAAGACATGGACAAGCCACAGAACCCAACATTTTAGGTTCAAATCACCTTTCAGCCCTTTAGTCAGGCAAACTGAACATTAAGCCACTTACTGTATGTGACCTGGAAAGTTCTATCTGCCTTGCATGAACAAGCCCAATAGTTTAATTTCCTTGTAAAATCAGATATAGATGACTATAAATATTTTCATGCCTTTTGTATTTGACAGTGTCAGAGACTGAAACAGTTAATGATTTATGCATTCTGGGAGACTTCTACAGGCTTTTGACTTTCTGGTGGGCAACTGGGCCCATCCCCCCCCCTCCTTCAGTGCAGAAGATGTCAAGACCCGAAAAGGCGGGAAGAGCTGAGTTTGCCACGCCCTCCTCGTGGACTCCGCGCCAAAAAAGGGGGACGCCAACCTATGGGGACGGCTCCCCGCCCTGGGGGAGGTGCTAAGTATATGGATTTTGACTGGTGACTTTGGGGTTTTGGCGGGGGTTTTTGCTTTTCCTTCTCCCCCCACCACCTGCGGATCAAGACATCGCTGGATCCAGTGGGCGGTGATTATCTCATCTTCTTTTTTTTTCTTGCTCTCCCTTACTCTCACCCTGTCTTTCTCTCCCCTATGCATTTTTCTCCTCCCTAGAAAGGTTACAGCACCCAAAAATGTTAACTTACCTACTGATTCAAAATTGTTAAAATAAATCTTATCCATATATGTTTTCATACACCGATTATTTAGTGTTGTTTCACTGTAATCCACCCCAAAGGAATTTTTGATGGAACCTGAGTTACCCCCCTCTCCCCTTTTCCTGGGGCGGGTCGTAACAGACAGTTCCTCACAGCTGATAAAGAATAGGCTGCTACTTAGATATGGTGCCTTTTCTTAAGCACTTTTTTTGCTGTGAGCAAACTGTTCTTTCTGTCGGTGCAGTAATACCCATGACATATTTCCCTATATCCAAACATGTGGATGTTTTGCAAAGGTTAATGGAAACTAAATTAAAGCTGAGTAATACTGACTATAATGCAAGAGTGTGCAGGCAAGGCTAATTAATACAACTGGAAGCATGGCTCAGTCCTGGCCTGTGACACCACTCTCTTTCTTTCTCCCTCAATCTTATTTTTTCCCTAAGCAGGCACCTACAGCAGCCTAAAACTACTTGTTTTAAACAGTCTTGAAAGGAGAGATTTATAGCAGCATCCCAGTTTTTTGCACTCAAGACTTAAATGATATTGAATCCTCTAGAAAGCAAAGAAAAGCTGTTGTATTATGCCTTCTTCCTTCTTGCTTATCAACACCCTTCTATCAGTAAGATTACAGTATTTCCTAGATTTCAGTGTTTGCTGAGTTCTTCTATGCAAGGAGCTGTTGCAAATAAACTTGGATTTTATTTCAAGTGGCATATGTCAACAAATGTCTTTTCTAGCGAACGAGCTAACTTTTTATCTTATATTAATGATCCAACTTTGCCATTAGTTTACTGATGGGCAGGAGAACAGCTTTTAACTCTGGTTATTATGCATAGGCTACCTGAAAAAAAGTCTGAAAATCAGACTGGAGGACTTGAAAACATGAGGGTGATAACAGGACAGAATGAGATCTGGCATCCCTGCTTCTTAGACCACCACATCTTATTTATTGCTGGTACCTTTTTCACATGCTTCACTGAGACAATCTGGAAAGGAGGCACCTGGGAAGGCACCAGTGCAACAGGGGATGCTTGGCCTGAGGACTCTGAAGGTTTAGTTTTGAAACATTGCAGTGTATCAAGTTCTTCAAAATATTTGCCTCACTGTGAAATGAAAACCTACTGTGGACTCACTGTGCACACATTGTTGTAGCTCATGTAGCACCTCCCAAGCACTAATTTTAGAAATGCTACCTCACCTCTCCCAGAGGCAGAGAGTCCATTAAACCTAAGCTTTGGGAGCTTCACTTGCAACAAGGCCCCCTCCCCCCACCCTGCCAGTCACTTCTTGCACCAACAAGGGTTCTGCTTCTAAGGCACAGTCTGACCCTGGAATCGTCCCATTTGCAGGGCTCCCCTGGGCTCTTACATGCCTGACTGAGGGACTGTGGCTTCCTCATGTCCCCAGATCCTTTTTCTTTTGGCACATCTGAAAGCCATTCCTTTGATACTATTCTTCCTTTTCCACAGGAAACAAACCAGTTCCTGTGTCAGCATCCTGGCCAGGAATCAAAGAAACAAGCTACTTGTCAGGCAACACCTGGGGCATAGGCAATTAGGATGGGGATGGTATTTCAGCAAGAGCCTTTCTGGCACTAAGGAAAAATATCATGTAAATTTACTGCAATTTTGGAAAAAAAAAAAGTGCTGTGTGTAAAAGTTATGAGTTTATTTCTATGGCACGGGTCAAACAACACCGTAGCTGCTTTTCTACCCTGTGCTTTCCGGTTCAGGCAGGAGTAAAGAACATTTTTTTATTTATGTATTCTATTTGCCTCATAGTTGCCTTATGATATCTTACTAGAGAAAATGTCTCAGATTCCCAGTGTCTTCCACTTTAGCTATGACAGCAACCACAAACTCTCAATCTATAATTACAGAGGTACAACTGCATTTTGACCTCACAAGCCCTCCTTGGCAAATATACTGATTTCTTATGGGGAATACATGTATTTTACCTTCTTCGATATGACCCCACAGTCCATGAGTTACAACATGAGGACATCAGATACAGAAATATTCTGATTCCCTGAGGAGATGGGAACCATTTGTTATACCTTTGCAGTCTTTGATCTCAGGTCTGGAAGATAAATTAATCACAAACACAGGAATGTCAAATGAGTGAAGTAATAAACAGACACTTGAAAAATTTTGTTTATTTTCATTTTCAAGTTCAAGGTCAATCTTCAATAATATGCAGCTAAAATGAGAGTACAAAAATGTTCCCATTAGTCTAATTTGAATTTAGACATATTATTTGCAAATAAAACTAAGCCTGCTTTTTTCAAATACCATTTCCGTGCACAAATTATATAACTCATTCTTTTCATAAGGCATGTAGAACAGATTTCAGTTCAAACATTAAAATATTTCACACTTGAGCATCGGAATTTAAAACAGAAATTAAAGGTTCTCAAAAAAATGTGCCTGAACTGCAGAAGTACACACTACAGACATTACAATGTACTCATGCAGAGACATGCACATACGAATATCTATGTATATGAACATACTAAGAAGATCAAAAATACCTGTTTTCTGTTTTTTTATGCAATCTCAGTCATTTAACTAACAAGAATGCATGTTTAACCCAGTATTCATATATTGCTCGCACAATAATTATATTTTCCTATTTTTTCAGTACAAAATCATTTCAGTCACACAGTAAAATTTTGTGTCTTCCAGTCAATGTCCTGCAGTAATGCTGAAATTCTGAAATACATTAAGGAAGTATAAGGGAGAAGTTGAAGGAATAATGCAAGATAAAATTGCACTGAGTCTTTGAGAAGATTAATTTGCCTAATGATGAATTGGTAACTGTAAATCCTTGCTCTTCTTTAGTCAATGGAAATGTTCACTTTCTTTTGAGTGATTCCATTTCTCACATAGTGGAAGAAGATGTATTTTACAGGTATACAAGCATCAAAGGAAAATCCTATATATACATTGTATAGGAATTATGGAAACATGGCAAAGTTCCTTTTCTGTTTGAAAACTGAACTCAGGTAAATCCTAAAAACTCACCAGCTTTTGGCAGATCATTTCAGCAGAAAGTGTGTTGTTACAGTGTACCTGTAGAAATCCTCATGTGCAGCCAAGGGACTTCGAACTAATTATGTGGCATAATGTCTTTGGGGAGAAAATTATATTTCAAAAATCCTGTCACATAAGAAGACAGAAATGCCCGCAGGTCCTTTATCTGAAAGGCCACGTCTTTAAACATGGTCGCTTTATTTTATGTATTTGAGCCTTTTATATTTGGAAGATATTTCATTTGCTACTCAAAGAACAGACCCTGTAAATAAGACTTCACTCCCAAGACGGCCACCAGATGATTCTTTGAGCTTGCCTATTCCACTAAAACCAGGACAGGAACCTATTTTTAGGACTTTAAATTGTCTTAGGCAGTATAGATTAGATCCTGTCACCCCAATTACACAGATTGGTATATTATTTTACAAACAAATTGCTTGTTTCTACTGGTGGTTATCTCTAGTAGAAGGAAAGTAAACATAAATACACATTTCTAGAACCTACTTTTAGTTTTATTAAGCTCATTGGAAGCTTGCACATTAAGAACTAAAAAGCCACCTGGGAAATAATATAATTTCAATTACAGCCTAATGAATAAGAACAGTAATGTATTACACGAGGAGAGTGTATAAAATCCCCTCTACCCTTTAATGCATCAGCATCATTATTCACTTTCTGTAGTTTTCCTGTATCATGCAGGTTTATACTGCACTCTCTCTGCCAGTAAATCCTTTAAAAATATGCTATGGTCTGCAAAAGTCTTGCACTAGTTCTGGATCTCAGTTTGCCTTTTTGTTAGAATAATTAATAAGCAATTCCAATTGCATAGACTTCTTGTACTACATGGAAAGTAATAAGTACACACACACCTAGCAGCAAGCCATTAAAATGATCCTAATATGGAATAAATTGGGGTTCAGTCCCAGAATTCTATTTATACCTGTTTGTTCATGAAAAGGACTTTTTACCATTCATACATGGATTTTCTTCCCAATGCTATCTATTTGTTATGAACAACTTTTAAAGAGTTCTTATAAATGGCCCTCTAAGGATACCCATATATATATATATATATATAAATATATATATGTCTATGGGGGAGGCAAATAAATTTACCTCTTTTGTCTTATAAACATGCAAACCCACTGAGAATATATATTATTATTTCTATATTGAGAAGTAATATGTTGAATTAATTCCTGGACTTTACTACAATGAATGTTTATATTCCTTTTAGATATATATTCATGATAATCATGGAGTACTGTGATACGGGATGCTTACAATGCAATTAAATAATTTCTGAAGAGCAAATTAATTATATCTTAAAATAAAGTTAATTTTTTGATCTGATATTACAATATGGCTTTAAGAATTATGGTTATTTTCATGAAATATTAATGACAATCTTTTTCTAAGTCAGTCTGAGCCTCAACATAATTAAAGGGCCATATATAAAAACTAAGTAGCCATAGCTCTACTTGCCAGCTAAGACTAAGAACTTCATGTAAGGCTGGTCAACATGAAAGTTACTTGTTTTTAAGACCAAAATTATGTCAATACAGACAACAAATTAAAACTAGGTAATTGAAATTTTAATATATAAAAAGGTTACTGTATGACTTGACTATATATAACCTATATATATAGCTGAAAACAGATTTAGTGGAAGTCACCTGTGTGTCACTTTCTGAGAAGTCTGCGTTTGAGTTTTTTGAAAGTGAGTGCTTTAAAAGAACTCCGTGGGTTTGAATGTGCACACTCAAAAATCTCTATGACTAAAAATGCAGATTCATTTGTTCATTTCCTGATTTTAATTGTGATGAGCTGTACCTCTTATTATCCAGCCTGATCTTAATAGCAATGCAGAATAGGACATACCCAAGGGATAACACAGAAGTTAGTGAAAAAGAAATGGCACGAATTTTGTTGTATGTCTGTGTAGTGCCACTGCTTTAGATAAATGATGTCTGAAGATCCTACAGTGTCTGCAGCTGGTTTCCACAAGACCTGCTTCTGAAGGCACTCAACAGCAGCTGCCTGCTGTATTCAACCTGGAACATCTGGAGATCTTCACATCTTCAGCGACAGATGACATTTAAAGTGTAGTGAAGCATTGTTAAATCCATCCTCACCTGCAATTTTCTTTGTTAATTGGCACAATTCTTTGTTTTCCTTCTGTCACTTTGTCTGATGTTTTTTGTAACATTAATGGCAACTTCTTTTGTGGACATTTTCTGTGAGTTCCATTTACTCTGTAAGAGATTTAAACAGCACAGTGAATTCCACACTGACAGCAGAGTCATTGGTGATTACCTCCTAACTTATGAAAACAGTTCTACTTAATAAACAGAATGCCTCCAGCATCCTTCACGCGGAACTGTGATGCAAAGCAACTTTCTCGTTCAGCAGGGACACAAGTTTTTATAACTGCTATACAGGCTGTGGACAACAGCAGACTTTGGATCAACCCTCTTGACTATAATTATGACCTCTGCATGTGTGTACTCTAAAAGCAGAGCAAATAAATCTGGTTTCAGTCCAGAACTGAAAATTAGAGGTTCCTTTTGATGTCACTGGGAGCTGTGCATCACTAGCCTGAGATAGAATTTTCTATAATTGATTTTGTGTTTCTTAAGTGAAAATACAGTTTTAAAGTAACATTTACTTCTGCCTGCGTATAAGACCCAAACACAATAAATATACCTTTCAGAGCTTCATCAGATAATTTCTAATATTCAAACAAGTCAGTCCATCTGAGGCATCCAAGTGCATCCCTAATTTAAATTTATTCTTCTCCATCTCCTCATCTATCTGCTTGTTGCCATGAGCAACACACTATATACACAGTAAACTGGATATGTCTAGCACTCAGAAAGTGCACTCAGAACTGGGCTGATAGAGACACAGGGGTGAGTTAGGTGGGTCTGATTATTGCATTTCCAGTAGTCTATGAAACTATTTGTCAGTGTAAGGAATGTCAGATAAATTAGGCATTGTTTACATGGCAGGAGTGCCAGCTAGAATAACGTCTCATAAACTTCCACTGACGTGAGTTGAAGGTACATATATATTTGCAGAGCAACACTTGGAGTTTATTTGCTGCTATATATTACTTCACATTTCTGCAGCCTGAATACACCTGCTCTTTTGCTTTCTACTCCCCCAGTGCTACAGTTCATGCAAGGACTCTCCAAAGACTACACATATAATGAAAATCAAAGCAGGTGCTTATCAGTCAGGGACATAATCTGGATAAAACTCTTGCTTTTATGCCTGACCATTATTGTGGAAGACATCTACTGCGAAGAGGGGAAGTTTCGAATGTGGAAACAGCAATTACAGGATAACCTGACTGAGGCTGCAGAGGAAGAAAACATGTTGTGAACTGACCCAATAAAACATTACTGACACAGAGACTGTTTGACTAGAAGAAGTTAATAATTGTTGTTAATATATGTTCAAATCTGTTGTACCCCCATGTTTTTATTGAATTCCATAATGTTCTCTCCCTCATGTTTATTCCTTATTTTCCTATTGGTTAAAATCTGCGGCAGTGCAGAGTCCCCATGTTATGTAACTCCTCTCCTGGGTCTCCCTAATTGGATGTAACTCCTGTCAGTCCCATGCTCCTCCCTTTTTTTCAGAACCTTCTCTGCTCCCTCTATAAATAGGGGAACCATTTTGAATAAACAGACTTTCAACTCTGTTTGAGCCTGAAGGTTGTTGTGTCCTTTCCTCACGAACTGCAACAATTATATTGCCTTCACTGGTGTAAGGACTCCTCTTATCATCATCATCATCATCATCTTTTACTTTCAAGTTGTTCAGACGTTATCATCATGAGAGGATCCAAAGTTTACCAGATGCGGCCTGTGTCAAACTCTTTCCCTTTTGACATACAAATTGTCACAAAACCGAGGGGTAAGGCAGGAGGCTGCTTTAGAGCTTGATGCAGGAGAAAGTGAGAAACAGAGAGGTAATGCCATTTACCCCCTACTTGTTCGCAAGCTCATGGCACAACCCAAGTCTCTGAGAGCACTGTGTGCTGCATTGCATTGTATTATAGAGCATGTAGAGGTAAAAGAAAAATTGTAGTCAATGTGAATGTTCAGATAAAGAAAATAGGCACATTTTGAATTGGGGGGCAGTAGTCACATTCTCATCTCTAGGCACCTGAACTTAAAGTGTTCCAATTGGAAACTTGCTCCTCCTAGGCTTCCTTCAGTGGAGAAACAGATATTCATGGTGGCAAACCAGAGCTGGAGCCTAAATTAGATACTACACTTTCTCTGAAGGAATATATATTTCTATTTTGAGTAAAAGAAGTTTAGACAACTTACCTTCCTTTCTTATGCATCTGCATTAGATGTGTAGAATAATGTAAATGCCTTCCTTATCATCACAAATTTTCTTTGTACTGAGCTGCAACTGTACAGATGTATATTACTGAATGTACCTCAGCTAAAAAATGCAGGAGGAAATCTTTAAAGCCATAGGGCCTCAGGGCAGGAACCCACACTTCACTGAGTAGTCCCAGAGTCAACACTCACATTGTTAATATGTTGTGGGAATTTGCCCGTACTTCCTACTAAATCCAATGCAGAAGTAATTTTCCAATCACTTACAAAATTAGGGAAACCATTTTCTCCAGCAGTATGCAGGGTAAACACCGTAATTCTCAATTGTAGCCAAGTCTTTTTCAAATTGGATTAATAATTATGTAGTTCTGTTCAACCATATCCAACCTCACCAATTAATTTTTCTCTGTGGGCTAGTGGCTATGACAGCTGTTCGTGTTTTTCATTTGCAACAAACTCATAGCTCTAGATATCAAGCTGCTGTGGAACATGTCCCTGCACATCTGGAGGTGCAGTATCTTGAGAAAAAATACAGTAGTATCCATGTCACCAGGGAATATCTTTGTACTACAGCAATACAGAGGTAATACAATGAAGGTATAAAATAAAAATATGTGTACTGATGTGTTGTGTGTTAGCAAATGGAAAGCGAAGTTCAATCCAAATTCCCTTTTTCATTTTCTCAGACCCTTTGGATTTAATTTTGCCTCTCTCAGTGATGTGACTCCTGACATGGGACCACCTCATATGGGGAGGGGGTGATGGTTACACCATGTGCTGTGCTGAGGCACTTTCTGTTGAGAAACGTCAAAAGATAAAGCTCAGTGAGGAGAAGTGCCCATATTGGCAGTAATTCACCAGAAACAAATTGTGTGCCACGCCTGAGGAGCAGGGGCACAGAGGGAACTTGTTTCATGCCTGAGAAAGGCATGAAACAAAGGGTGGTGTAGAGGTGTTGGAGTCACGCTCTGTTTAAAAGAATGCAGCTAATGAAAGCTAAACCAAAGGAATTACCTCAATGGTGACCAAAAGCTGAATTACACATCATGACCTTCAAAATGCATATCACTTTTCATTCCCTACATATGCTAATGATGTAAAACCTGCACATGCTTTACATGTATGATTAAAGTCACTCAAACTCCACCTAATCATGAAATTACATCAACTGAAACTTTTTTTTCACCACCCTCAAAGAAAACAATACAAATATGACTTAAGAGGGGAGGGAGGTCAGAGGAGACTCTACCTTTGTATCCTGGGTTGGTCAACAGGCAGTACCCTCTACTCCCCGTTAGGGACACCTGTCAGGTAAGTTTTCCATGGTAATACTATTGTAGGTACTTTCTGATACCAGTGCATTTAGCAACAGCAATTTGTGGACCTTATTCTGTCCCAACAAAATCAGTAAACTGCACAATTTGTGAATCTGGAGTCTTATTGAATTCACCCAGACTTACAGTGCAACTTATGCCATTTGTGCTTCTGGGATTGCGATTGCGACCACACTGTGCCTCTGCTACCTTACCAGACTTACGGTGCCAAACTGATTACTCTAAAATATTATCTCTGAAGGTCTCATGGGGACTTGGACAGCAGACAATGCAGAAAGCAAGGGGGTCTCCCTTCCCTAAATTTTTATGTGACAGAAAAATTGGTGTAGTCAGCAAGACTGCCATGGATAAACAGTTACAAAAGTATAAATGTGCTCCTTCCCAGGCAGACAAGGAATGGGCCTGAAAATTCTAGAAAGACAAAGCAATTATTTGTGCAATACTGGGGACTCACTTATCACACAAAAGGAAATGAAAGAGTCCCTTCCTTCCCAAAAATGTCCTATACAGAATATGCTGCTTCAAAATCAGAAAATGAAATATTAAAGTCATCATTGGCCTTTGAGAGGGAAATAAAAGAAAGACTGGGAACCAAAAGAAACAAGCTTATAACTGAGAATGATAATTTTATGATTCTACTTGCTTCAGCAGAGCACAGGGAAAGACAATTATTGGAGAAATTAGGTAGGAAGAGCCTTAGTAGAGAGAAACAAGGTCTGAGAGAGGAAATAGGAGGCAGGAAAGGAACTGAATTGTTACTATCTTTGGAAATTGAGCAGCTGCAGAAATGGTTACAGGAAGAAAAGGAGATAAAGCAAAAATTGGAAGAAAAGGTAGAAATGGTGCTTACGTGGGCTGCCAATCCACCCAGCATTGTACAGATAATGAAAGCATTTGTATCCCCTGGGGAATGGTGAAAAAGACAAAGGGTCAGTGGCTGCTCACTGTTGCCTGCAGGAGATGGAAAGCCAATGTCACACCTCTAACTACTGCTCTGCCAGATTTAGCAGAACTGGTAACAAATTCAGGGAGCATGGATGGCAGTCCTATGCATGGATGGCAACCTAGATGCAAAAGATATGTTATTTATGATTCTACTCTGGGAACACATCAAGGCAAACTTTGTGCTCACCTGAAGGCAGTTCAATGTACCTTCCCACAGGGGTATAAACATTTACCCATGACTGAACAATCCGTAATTTCCAAAATTTTACAGACAGTCTCACTCCCTCTAGATGTGAAATTATATGATATTCAATTAGGAGAAGACTCCCCTGAAAAAGTAGGGGAAGCAGCAACATGAAGTAGAAGTTGAGATTCCACCCGAGAAATGCCAAGGACCACGTAAAGGACTATATCTGCTACATCTGCAGATGACCCAGAAAGCAAGGAGGTCTCCCTTTCCTAAATTTTTACCTAATACTTTCTCATATGAGAAACCAAGGAAGCAGTAAACCAAGCAGTTTTTGGATTTCTTTAATCTGCAGCAGCTCAGCAGCTGCTACACAAACAGGGCAAGTGGAAACCTGGGAGAGGCAGGCAGGTGTTAACAGGAGAAGGTTGGTCTTTGGTATAGCCCCAAATCCTTGGGTGTTCCTACATTATTGTTACACTGGATGACTCTTCTACAACATATATGACATATAAGTGAGGTAGAGGAGGGGGGAGGATCTGACCCAAAGCTTACTGAAGTTATTGAAAAGACTCTAATTGACTTTTTCAGGCCTCACGTCCAGCTTTGAATGAACCAGGATTTATGCAGTTCACATAGTTTAAGCAGAACAGCAATTAAGGAAAAATCTGTTCTCTTTCAAGTAATTAATCTAAACAGTTTGCACAATACGTGCCACAGCTGGACTGAGTTGGAAAGCAATGAGTGTGGGGGCTTTTTTTACTGTAACAATGTGTGTGTTACTCTGATTGGCAAATAAAATATCAACTCTGTGGCCATTCAGGCACTGTCAGAGGTGCTTGGCTCAACCATGTTGTGGCTGTGGTGCAGCCCAGCACCATTTTCTCTTATCTCTTACACAGTTTCACCACAGCAAGGAAGATTGCCACAAAAGTGAGTTAGACCTGGTTGAAGCTAGTGCTGAGCACCCGGGGGACATAATTATACTCCTACCTCTGTGGTTCTGAAGCCATTCTGCCTCTGTGTCGTGGCTCCCATGCTGTGGACCATGGGGTTGGCACACTGAGAACCACAGTTATTCCTCTTCTCAGTGTTCAGCGTTCCAGATGGGGCTGATGCTGTAGTTACACCAGTCTGAGCCAATTTCCCATCCTCCAGAAGACCTAGTAGGGACACATGAAATTGGGCAATTAATACCGAGGAGCAAATTGCAACTGGCTCTGGCTTTCCCTTTATTTTATCACGTGTTTGTGAGACTGTGATGCCAGGTGTGGTGCAGTACTACAGTCCACCCCTCCTTGTGTCACCCTTGTCCTCACACTTGACATTATTTGCCCTTTTCCCTATGGTCCACTGCTCTGTGAAACACTGGCTCAGAAAACACGGAAAAACGATCAATGAGCGCAGCACATCAGTAGATTTTTGTCATCTGCAGACCTCCATTGGCTTCTCTACACACACAGCTCCTTGCATGACCGACAGTTTAACTTAGGACCTGGAGAAGCTCCCCTTAAATCTGTTGCAGTTCTGGGAAATGAAGGGGTTAGGTGGAAATGAAGGGGTTAGGTGTGAGGATGACAAATCAGACTAATATGGGTGGGAAGGTTGCTCTATTCATGGCCTTGAACATTTTTTTCATCAGAAGTTGACTAAAGAAATTCAGGAAAAATACATTTCTTACTGTTTTGACTATCAGCAATCAAATAAATGACTGATTTGCTTTCTGCTCTAGCTGTGTGGATATGCATGCATTGCACAACATGATATTGGACAGCATAAATGAATTTTCTCATCTTATTGCATTAACAAAAATCAGTTGTCATTTATGGTGAGTACAGAGCACTAAACATCTGGTTGCAACACTGGGTCTAAAATACAAATACAAAGAGCAAGGGGGATGCATGACTGTAGCTCTCAATTTAGCTTTTGTCAAAGCTCAGTTATTAAAAGCTTTATGTTAAAAGAGAAAAAAAAAAGGCAAATTTACTAACTGGCAATGCAGGTATCAAACCTGAAAGAATTAAGGGGTCACAGACACTAAATGAGAAAAAATTATCTGGAAAACCAATGACAAATCATTGCTATTTGAAGTGACATCGTATCATCAAAATCTTCTTCCACGAATCAGGTGGGAATTCAGACACAGTGTTAAGGGTATTAAAAGGGAAGCAAAGTCCTGAATTCTTTCTCAGAAATCTGTAAGAAAAGCTGTATTGTCAGTAGAAAGCAACATCAGTAGCAGCTAGCAAAGGCAATGACTAAAATCAATAAAGCTTCAACCAAATAGTCAAAGCCTTGATATTGAAAATATTTAAAGTTTTGTGAATTAAATCATCTTTAAGGTCCCTTCTGATCCAAGCCGTTCTATGATTCTGAGTCAAGAAGTCTAAATACAAACTAGTCACTGCATTTCCCTGAGCAGTCAGAAGATGGAGTCAGAGTTTTCCAAAGACAAGTTAACGTGCAGTGGTGGTAACTAATAATGCTAAGTCATCTAGTTTTTGACAGAAAAAAAATTGAGCTGAAACTTGACAATACTACATTATAGTTTATTTTAAAATATACTTCAGCGTTTGGAAACTTTTCTGCTAGGTATAAAATCTAATTTCATTCTCCCATCTAAGTTTAGATGCAACTTCCATAAAAGAGTAAACCTCACCTTTCCTGCATCTCCCAAAAGTCCACACCTACTTCTGTTTTAGGTCTTCTCTCTTCCTATCACTCCACAGTGCCAAATGAGAAGCAAAAAAATGAGTTGGTGCAGAGCAGTAAGTGATACAGACTGGTATTGTAGACAAAACCAGTTATCAGGGAGAGAGATGGAAAGGCAATTAGCCATGTGTGAGTCAGAGCTCTAAGCCAGGAGTCCACTGCTTCCCCTTGCAGAGGAGCTGTGAGAACAAGCTTGAGCACAGCTTCCAACAGGCAAACTGCACTAGGCATTACATACTAATTCCATTAATTGAATCTTTGACATTTCAAACATATATGAATTACGAGTTTTATCCTTCTGTGGAGTCATCCTAGAATTTACTTTCCACTGTGTGTCTCTTTGGCCATCTGGCCTCTGACTAAATTGTCTGGTGAAACAGCTGTCGGCTGAAAAGCCATTTTGTTATTAAGCACAATTGTTCATTTATCAGACTGTGTTGCATCTTTTGGTCTCACACAGAACAATTTTTCTTGCATGAATCCATTTCTGGGGGCTGCTAGAAAATCTTGATCCTGAAAATGGTGTATCTGGTTTATTTTTTGTCTCTTTTAGTATGCGGCCTGAGCATCCTTGCTGCATTCTGCATTGCAGGGGTGAGACTTTTTTTGCAATACTTGTCAGAAATAAACCAGGTATCAGTATCTGATCCTTCCACTATCACTACTATATTTTTATATGGATGACCTAGTGGTCACCAATACTAAGTAAAAAGCTTTTTTATTTTATCTTGAAATATGTTTGCTATTCTGAAGTTAAGAAACTATTTTAAATTTTTTTTCATTGGCAAAGAGATGCTTTAGAGACTGGGGAAGAGTTTAAAGATTTCAGTGACTTGTTCTTTATGTATGAGCACTGAGCAGAAATTACAATGAGAATGCATGAGCAGTGGAGTTAAGAGCACAAGGTTTGCTCTTATAGAGCACCTTCTTATAGACTAGATACATAACACAAAATGTTGATTGCAAACCAGAGATGATGTTAAGAAAGGATTAGGAACACATGGTTGTTCTTAAAATAGCAAATACTTTTACATTGTTATTTAGGGTTTGTCACAGTACACAAAAATGGAAGAGTTAACTCTCTTCTTTTGTACTATCTGGAATTTACAAGCCAGCAGGATGGCAATACTAAGGGTCTTGCCTCAGTGTCATCTAAAACAAGAAAATTGTTGAGATATTTATGCCATCCTCACAGCATGGGTTCGATGAACTCTTTGGTCTTTCACTGCAGAACTTCAGTTTACACCAGTTGTTAAATCACCGTAGAGATTTAAACAAACGGGTTCAGTAATGCTGTTCTCATTGTCATGTTCTTTGCCACAACACCCTCCTGCCAAAAGTCTGTGGGCCTCTTGAGACCAGGGAAAACTGCAGATTCCATCTCAATGCTCATCAAGTATTTTATTTCCAAATGAACTGGCAAGGCTAGAATATTCTTACGGCTCCATTCCCAAAACCAGGGTTTCTGGGTGATTATTAAATATCCATCAATGTGATGGCAAACCTTCCATCAGGAATGGCTAGTCAGTGTTTGGGGAACTGTTCCCTCTACGGAGAAGAATGGATGACAAGCGGCAGGTATTTCATTGCATGTAATCAGATTTATTTATAACAAGCGTACATGAGTTCTCTCTCAATGGTTGCAGGGAGAACACCCCTGCAGCAGCCCCATTGCTCACAAATCCAAGTCCATCTTTGCAGCACAAAATGTGTTTAAAAGAACTTGTCCTCCCATGGCAATGCTCGCTGCCAGCTTCCTCTATGCTAGCTTGTTGGGCTGCACAGGCGCGCCAAGTCCCGCCTTTCTTACCAGGCCAATAGAATCCTTTAGGCTGCAGTTTGACAAACTTTTTTTGAGAAGCATCAGGGGAAAAATGGGTTATTTTAAAACTGAAATCAATCCCTAGTTATTCTTCTCTGAATGACGCAAGCAGTCAGACTGGCACAACTTGGGAGGTAGCACAGGAATCGAAACAAGCAGCTCTGCAATAAAACAAAACAAACCTGACCCCCACTCATCCAGCCACACTCGTTCTTCTCACTGAGCTGCCTTGCTGAGCTGTCTCAATCTTCAGAGGTATATTCACATTGCTTCCAGCTACACCTACGTCAGGGGACGGGTATTTGTTTAGTCCATTTAGCCTGGATTCACCAAAGCTTCCCACTGTGTTACAGCAAAAACAGTGTCCCAGAGTTGATGATCCAGATCAGGATGTGATACAACTGACTGATACAAAGGAGTTTTTTTCTAAAATATCTTTCACTAAATCCCAAATCTTCCTTCGTGAAGCCTAGCCATGACCTTTCACTAAAACGTCTGATGATTTACACCAAATGATGGCAGTTCAAATAGTTTTTGTTTTGTGTATTTTCACATGCACAATTTGAGTAGATTTGAAAAACCAAATTTGCCCAAGTTTGGGTTTGGGTTTTTTTTTTTACCCGACTAAAACACTGGCATTAAAGTACTGCCTTTTGTTCAAGCTTCCCAAAATATGAAAGTTTGGGAAAGTTTGGATATGCACAATAATCAACTCCAGTCATTACCTTTGACAAACCAAAACTAAAAATCCATCCCTCTGGATATCTGGGTATGTTTTAGCTGTTTCACAGTTCACAAGAAGGACATATAAGAACAGTTTTACTATTATGTCAAAATGTAATGAACATAAAGCCACCTAAAATCAGAGGCATCTCAATATAAATAGGAAGATCAGAAAGTTGGGATGATTTTGTCTGAAATATGTATTCTATGTGGAGAACAACAGGCATATTAAAGGTAATATAAACTCCTAGAAGACGATAAAGAGAACAGAACATGTTGATTGTCACTACTAACACAAAAACAAAGGCATTGGGATTTTTATATAGCTCATATAAACACTATAAATAAAATTAACTCTCCAAGAACTGCTGCTACTCATAATTAATAGTTTATCCTAACATTGACTATTCAGGCTGCCAGTGGGACACCAAGTTTTTCCAGTCTTTCCAGATTAACCTCTTACTCTCTGTGCTGTAAATGTGATGAAAAATTCAGTGTGTCCAAGCAAACACCAAAATTAGTTTTTAGAAGGAAGGCTTGAACACATCAATGCTTCTCCTATCTTAAGTCTCTAAAATTGTCTTTATTAATTATTCATAGATATAATCATAATGATTCTTTTTATTTCACACTATTAAGTCATGTATTAATACCAGGTAGAACATGGCCATTTTGTAAAGAACAGAAGTTTTTTTCATAACAGAATTGTAGGCTGTAAACTCTTCTGTATTGTGCAAAGGCACCTTTCAGTTCTTTAATGCCACTTGGAAATCTGATGCAAATTCACCAATGGATTCAGAGGATTCTGTCCATAATGCCTGTTTTTCTCTGATGACTGTAGTGTATTTATATCATAACTTCTCTCTCAACATCTCCCTCTCCGCCTCAACTGTCCTTCTGCCAGGCTGCACCTCACTTTTCTAGGAGCAAGAGTCACCAATTCCCATCTCCAAGCATGTTCTGTGAAACCTCTCAGCATGTGCTAGCATGTGTTCTTTTGTCTACATTCCCAATAATTTTTAAATTTTGAATGAATTTTCATAAACTGCCAGACAGCACCATCCTTATTTTGTAGTTTAGGAGATACATATTCAAAATTGCAGTCTGAAAAACTGCTTATGTTCATTCAAAATGGTTAAATCATGTAACTCTAAAAAAACCCCACACATTCACATAGGGAGAGAGGAAGAAAGCTTTTAAAATAATCCTTTTAGTAAATAGGATGTTCATCACAGAGAAGTAAAAAAAGAATGTAAAATATGGAATGGAAATTTAAGACATTAGATCTGTATTTTTTATTTCTTCTGATTTCTTTTATTATAAGGAAAACACTAGTGATCACAAAACCAAGGATAAACATTGCATACATGCTGCTCTGGTTGTTCATACAGCCTGGTTACAACTAAGAATTTAAACTATTCTTAATGACAGTATCTCAAAAAGAGGTGAAGAAATTTTTACTCTTAACTCTTTCTAACCTGATGTTAGCGTGGAAATGAAGATGATGTGAAGGGGGGGAAATTACATGATTAATTCAGTTTACGAAAGTAAAACTGGTCTAAAAAAACAAAGTAGTGACATGGATTGACAGCTGGCCCAGAGAGACAGGGACAAAAGAGAACTAGGGGGAGTGATTTTGTAGCCCTTAAATATCAAGACCACAGGAAACTTCTCAAACCACAGATAAAGGTAGGTCTGCCTGGATCTCTTGCCCAGATTTCATCAAAAGAGTACATCTCAGTGAGATTCAAGATGACCTGTGACAAACAAAATCAGCAATGCTGCAATATTTAATGCTGTCAAGAAGTTTGGGAGGGGTGTGAAGCCTTGTAGCAAGGAGACAAAGTTAATCTTAGCCAAAAAATCAGACCTTTGTGGAAAAAGTTATTCCATGTTTGTTTGTTACGGTATTCTCCCACTTGAGTTTAAAGCAACAGGCAGTGACCAAATCTGGACATGAGTTCCCACCCAAATATGCTCTAGATCTGACTCAGTACTGTGTGTGACCCTGTGCTGTCGTGTTCTGTTAGGGAATGACAAGCACACATTTGTTTAAAGTGGGTAGCTGTTGATTAGTACGCTAAGTTTATATCTATGGAATCAACTACAAACACAAACCAGCGAGGTTCAATTTTCTGGTTCAGCAACACCCTTTCTATTTATCGTGACTGTTAACTCATGCATAATGCATAAGATGCTGGTTTAGAAAATGCCTGCCTAATAAGATGCTGCACTGTAAAGATGGACTCTCAGAAAACTCACAGTGAAGACAAATGAAGAGTGTTATCATCACATGCAGTTGCTTCCAGAGGAAATATGTGTTTGTAATCATCACCGAGTTTCTTGCTTTTAATGCTATAGACTGTCAGTAAGTACAGAAAGCACTAAAATACCTGTTCCCTCTGGCTGTTTTCCTGAATTGCTATATATTTTTGGGAAAGCCATGCGTTTACAGGCCCGAGGGTTGCTTTGTGCTCCTGCTTCAGAAACAACACATAGCATGGATCTGATAAAAAATGAATGGAGTGGAGGCTGTGAAAAATGTCAGGTTTAAGTCATTTCCTCCAAAGCAGTAGCCTCGACAATGAGGCCAGATGCTCAGGAAATCTGCAATAGCTCTTTTCCCTAATAAGACAGAATTTAGAAACTTTCAGGCATAGCAGAGAGTGAGTTTATAAACCAGGATGAAGGATCCAGAAAATCTGCAGAGGAATAACCTGCTGCAGCAGGGAAATGTTATCAGAAACAATGTTTTGGATCAGCAA